GAAAAGTGATGTGAAGAGCGAGCGTTGCAGAAATGCGTGATAATGTGGGATGTTCCCACATGGTCTTAACGGAACTCTCATTTGTTTCGGATGAAATGACATAGCAAATGTTTTTTTTTTTTTCAAAATTTATTATAAGAATATTTTTCTCGAACCATATATTTAACTTTCTCATCACGTTTTTTATTTTATGCTGAAGGTCAACTTCATTTGATCCAGTAATTAACAAATTAGTATCATCTGCAAATAAGACCAACTTTGCCCCTCGAACATTTATATACAGCAAAAATAAAAGCGGCCTCAACACTGATCCTTGCGGCACGCCGTGTTCCACTTTCATACATGAAGAAGTGTAACTTTGTCTAAGGGGATTTCTACAATCTTTGTCCCCAATCTCAGCAACCTGGGATCGATTTGACAAATAAGACTGCACAGTCAGAACGTTATCACGTCCATGATATTTAAATTGGGGCAGCTTCATCTCTGACCCAGCACCCGGCTGTTTACAGAGGAGGGAAACTCATTTGTTTTATTTAAATTAATACGAAATAATATGTAATATGTTTGTGACTAAAACTATAGCCATCATTCTTATGAATATTTCTGGCATGTGATTCCATGTAGTCCGTTGAAAAGCAGCCAGTGTTTCAGAGGATCATTTTGCCTCCAGGGTTGAAGAGTGAGCCAAGTATTCCTTGCTGCCTTTTCATGCTTGGCTTACTCTTAGTTTGGAAGATGGACGGAGGCATGTTCCTTCAAAACAGTCAGTTCATCTTCAACAATCTACATGGCACTGTATCTCAGAAGATAGAGCTCTTCATAACCACCACTGTGAGAACCTCAAATTCTGTAATATTTCATTTTGTTGTTGTACTTTTGTTACGTTTTGTTTTTGCCCGCCATGTTTCAGTTCTAAACCAGCCACTTTATTTATTTATTTATTTAACTACAGTCAGACTATTCGTGAGATATTAAACAAGAAGAAAACATAAAGCTATCCCTATAACAGGCTGTGGAGGCCCATAGGGTTGTTAGACATTGAGGCTCCCACATTTTCTAGACAGTCGGTTCACAGATGGCAGTGAGGTTGTCAGCCTTACGTGCTGGTCACCCTAAACCCCCAGGAAGATTCCTGGTCCTCATTTCCATTAGAGCCTGAGTTCAACCCAGGCACATAGTGCGTTTGGAAGGATTAGGTAAATTAAAAAATCGAATGATCTGATTGGAAATTGAACCCACAGTCTCCTGGCTTGTAGCATAGTGCCTCAGTGTGAGATGATAACATGTTGAATGATTAATGAATTGAAAAGGATGTGGAAGAAAGTGGTTATGGTCTAATCTGGAATATTTTCCTGATATTTGCCTAGAGGCAGTCAGGTGAATGACAGGATACCTTAGTCACACTAAGAGACTGTAGGATCTCACATATTGTGTTCTGGGATTTGAGGCCATACAATTTGATCGATAGGTACCCAGATACTTGGGGACACATCCTGGAAGACTGTAATATTTTTGTTTTGTGTGCAGGTGACAATCACTACAAGGCAACTTGTGAGTCACCTTGCAGGTATCAGGCACTATGAGAAGGCAACAAGCAACAATAAGAACAACAGGAATAATGACAAGGAAATTGTCAGCAAAGAAATAAAAGATAAGAGGAATGTAAGGAATTTCACTGCTTTTGTGTTAGTGTTCTTATTTCTTGCTGTTGCTCTTTATATTCACGGTCTTTTACTGTCCTTATCCTTTCACATTAACTCACCAACTGTCTTCATCACTTAATGCTGCAAAGCATTCTCACTGTAAACTGAAAAAGGTCAGGATTCTGCTCACACGGTGTATTTAGACACTCCATATCAATC